GCTCTCTCTCCGCAGCGTCGGGGTCGGAGCCGGCGCGCGACATCCGCTGCGAGTTCTGCGGGGAGTTCTTCGAGAACCGGAAAGGTCTGTCGAGCCACGCGCGCTCCCACCTGCGCCAGATGGGGGTCACCGAGTGGTACGTCAACGGCTCCCCCATCGACACCCTCCGAGAGATCCTCAAGCGCCGCCGCGGCGGGAATCCCAATCCCGCCGGGAACCCCGCCGGCCCCAAGGCCGTGGCCAAGAGCCTGCTGGGCACCCTGGGACCGCTGGAGCCGCGCGGGCCGGCAGAGCTGCACATTCCCGCCCTGGGGAAGAAGGTCCCGCCACCCGGCAGCCCCCCGGGGCCGTCTCCCACCTCGTCCCCGCCTCCCACCGCCCGGAAGATGTTTCCAGGCCTTTCTCCTCCCTCCTTGCAGAAGAAACTCAAGCCAGAGCAGCTGAGGGTGGAGATCAAGCGGGAGCTGATGGCCGGAGGGATCCACGGGGAGCCGCATCCGTCGGATCGCGCCTGGTCCCCCCGGGAGGAGATGTCGCCCCTGAACCTCTGTGAGTGACCCCCCCCGCCCCGGGAAGGGGGATGTGCTGGATCTGGGGGCTCATCCCAGGGATNTCCACCCCCTGGGCACCACAGGAAATCAGTTAAAACCCAGAATTCCCAACAGCATTTCCTGGGATGCCCCTGGTCGGTTTATTTCCCTAAATTCCATTCGCCATCGCTCCCAAACTCAATCCCACATTTGTCCCCAACCTCGTCCCAGTTAATTGCACAACAGCTAATTGTCTGGGGATCGGGGTGGGCAGGAGGCAGCCGGAATTCCGGGCAGTTCTCCCTCTGGAATCCCACTCTCTCCGCAGTGTTGGGGTCAGAGCCGGCGCGGCTTTTGTTTGGAATTCTTTGAGGAATTCCATTTGCCGTCGCTCCCAAACCCAATCCCACATTTATCCCAGTTAATTACACAATAGTTAATTGTCTGGGGATCAGGGTGGGCAGGAGGCAGCCGGAATTCCAGGCAGTTCTCCCTCTGGAACGCCGCTCTCTCTCCGCAGCGTCGGGGTCGGAGCCGGCGCGGCTTTTGTGAAATTCCATTTGCCGTCACTCCCAAACCCAATCCCACCTTTATCCCAGTTAATTACACGACAGTTAATTGTCTGGGGATTGGGGTGGGCAGGAGGCAGCCGGAATTCCGGGGTAGGCAGGAGGCAGCTGGAATTCCGGGCAGTTCTCCCTCTGGAACGCCGCTCTCTCTCCGCAGCGTCGGGGTCGGAGCCAGCGCGCGACATCCGCTGTGAGAAATTCCTTTCACCATCGCTCCCAAACCCAAACCCAATCCCACATTTATCCCAGTTAATTACACAATAGTTAATTGTCTCCAGGAAGGGGAGAGGGGATGGCAATATTTGTGCAGTTGGAATTCCGGGCAGTTCTCCCTCTGGAACGCCGCTCTCTCTCCGCAGCGTCGGGGTCGGAGCCGGCGCGTGACATCCGCTGTGAGAAATTCCATATCGCTCCCAAACCCAATCCCACATTTATCCCAGTTAATTACACAATAGTTAATTGTCTGGGGATCGGGGTGGGCAGGAAGCAACCGGAATTCCGGGCAGTTTTCCCTCTGGAATCCCACTCTCTCCGCAGTGTCGGGGTCGGAGCCGGCGCGGCTTTTGTGGGGAATTCTTTGAGAAATTCCATTTGCCGTCGCTCCCAAACCCAATCCCACCTTTATCCCAGTTAATTACACGACAGTTAATTGTCTGGGGATCGGGGTGGGCAGGAGGCAGCCAGAATTCCAGGGTGGGCAGGAGGCAGCGGGAATTCCAGGCAGTTCTCCCTCTGGAACGCTGCGTCGGGGTCGGAGCCGGCGCGGCTTTTGTGAAATTCCATTTGCCGTCGCTCCCAAACCCAATCCCACATTTATCCCAGTTAATTACACGACACCTCATTGTCTGGGGATCAGGGTGGGCAGGAGGCAGCGGGAATTCCGGGCAGTTCTCCCTCTGGAACGCTGCTCTCTCTCCGCAGCGTCGGGGTCGGAGCCGGCGCGCGACATCCGCTGTGAGAAATTCCATATCGCTCCCAAACCCCATCCCACCTTTATCCCAGTTAATTACACAATAGTTAATTGTCTGGGGATCGGGGTGGGCAGAAGGCAGCGGGAATTCCGGGCAGTTCTCCCTCTGGAACGCCGCTCTCTCTCCGCAGCGTCGGGGTCGGAGCCGGCGCGCGACATCCGCTGCGAGTTCTGCGGGGAGTTCTTCGAGAACCGGAAAGGTCTGTCGAGC